AATTTAATTATAAATGTTATAAATATTATTTTCACTAATATTTAGTAATAAATTTTTCCATAAAAGGGTAGCACAGGCACCCTTTGCAAGTTTCGTATTTTCTGAACGAGTAAAAGCTCCAGAAACAAGTTAATACCGAAATAATTATATTTTTGACGCTGTCGACTCGTTATCCACTGCTCCACAATAATCTGTATAAGCGATGCGATGAAATTCCATTATCGTTACGGAAGTTTCTTCGTAACAATAAGTTCCGTTTTAAAGGGAACAACCATGTCAAGAACATCTTCATCCCGTTACTTCTTAAGGTAATTAAGGGCAACTTACACCTACATAGTCCCGTAACATTTTCGAACAAGACTTGCAAAAAACATTTTTCGTACAAATTTTGCAATCCTTATAATTTGTATCGTACCTTTTGCAAAAATTATAATCAAATACAATGCAACATTCTTTACAATTTTTATTATAACTTTTGCAAAATTGATAGTAAAATACAATGCAGCAATCTTTATAATTTTTATCGTAACTTTTGCAAAAATTATAATCAAATACAGTACAATATTTCTGAAAATTGTGAGGTGGGTGAGGAACGTCGTTACACTGTTTTCACCTCAATTTATTAAAGTATAAGTGTATGGTCGGCGTACAATTGGTCCAGAAAATACAATCGTTTACTTTGTTAATTGTCCCGGCGGCAGCGGTTCGGCGGGTACGTCGCGATGGTCGGTAAAGGAACAAAGTGTCCGGAGGTGTAGGTGTACTGGGTTTTTATATTGTTAGGACAAGGAGACAGGAGTAGCGATAGATAAAGATAGAGGTGGAGAAAGTGATGGAAACGGAAAATTCGTTCGTCCTCGTGCGAACCTGGATGCCACATGTGCGCTTCTTAGGCTACTCGAGGACGAAGGCAAGTCTTAACCCGGGGAGAGACAAAAGAGCGGAAGCTAAAATCTGAAGGAGTTGGAAAAGAGAAGGTTCGCGTGGAAGAATAGAACGAGGTTCGGTAAGGGTTAGCTACGACGACGTACCCGCCACAATTGTTATCATAATTTTGTTGCACTAAAAAATGTGCTTTATATGAATGTAGTTTTAATTATAATTACAGAATTCCTTTCTGCGATGATAATGTTAAATATGCCTCTGTAGAAATGTGTCTTTGATGTTATTACTGATAAATTAATGTAATTTCATTCGATGAAATATTGAACTATTGAAATTTCATATTCCGAAATGTATGCTTTCCAGTTTTATCATTTGTATATAATGTTTATACCCTGAGATACGTTAATTTACATTTCAGTTTTATTTTACTATCATTATGATTAATTTGCTTAATATTGTATGCGCATTGCAGTTGGTTATCAATGGTCGATAGTAAAAGTGGAAATTAGACGAAGTTGATTTAATTCGTTGGTAGTTTAAGTCAAATGTAATTTTCACTAATTGCCCTATGCTCTTGAATTTGATACCACTTTCTAGGTGATCTCGCGGGTCGAATGCCTAAATTTAGGTGTCAATTTAAGGCTACCCCGGAAATTCAAGATTGATCGCCTTGAGAATTGATACACAGAACGCTTATACATCATAGCAATTTATCGCAGGTGAAACATAAATCATCCAAGTTTCGAGATAACGCGAACTTTGCTATAATCTGCTAAACGTATGTACCTAAGTTATCTAACATCGATAGTATGTATATATTGTCATTTAAAAAATTGTAAAATGGTAACAAACTGAGAAACGAGTTTTTCGTTTATTACTTTCTAATATTTCCTCAGTAAAATTTTTCATTTATTATTTTCCAATATCTCTCTAATGTTCTTCATCTATTATTTCCTCTGACAAAAAGGTACCTGAAGAATACACAAAAAAAAATGAGGAATACATGGAATATTACAAATGTTCACGCAGAAGAAGAATATAGTTTGCAATCTTTAAGAAAAACTTTAAACAATTAAACGTCAGATATATTAATACAGTTAAAATGATTTTAAAATAATCATAATGGCTGCCTCACATTTGCTGTCTTTCCACACGTACTCAACAGAGAACGACATTTCCCCGATGGTAATTATATCTCGCAGAATTTCCTCCACGTCCCGATAATAAATTTAGAATGTTCAGTTCTTCATCTGGCCGGCGGCGTAATCGACATTTGCGAAATTCGCTTTATCCCCGCAAAGAATATTCGATGAATCGAGCTCGAGTAACGAAGAGGACGTTCAATCGAACGATAATCGTGTGTTTCAACGCAAAAAAAAAAAAAAACTTTCCTTTCTCCACTTTCATGCCATTTTCCAGCTGGCAAAACTTTCTCCTTTTATTATTTTCAATTCGCAGGATACGAATTTAATTTTTTTTTTCACAAAGACGCGGTTTATCGGGCTCAAGGGCTCCTGCAAGCTCGCTTCTTTTGCCACAAAGAAATTTGTGATGGATCGATATTTTTCTTTCTCCATATTTTGCATTTGCTTTTTTGCCAATACAGGTTTTTCGACGATTACCAGGTGGAACTTTATTTCGATTGGCGGATCACTTTGAACGGTCCACAGTTTTCCGTATTTGGCAAGATTTTAATGAAAAAACTGACAGGGTGTAAAAACCTAGGGAAATTCGTGCTGACCGTTTGAAAGCAGATTCTTTGTGGATTGGTTTTTTTTTTTTTTTTAAATCAAATATCAATCGTGCATAAGTATCGCCGTAAGTTTTTTTAAGTTTTTGACTGTTCCAAGACTTCTTTTGTTAGAGCATGATTTTCAGATATTGTAGAACCTGATGAAAGAAGATACTGAATTTTCAGCACTATTGATAACAAAAATTCACTTAAAAAAAGTTCGTCTAAAGGTAATAAAATAGATTAGTTCATTCGGCACATTTATATCTTGCAATTTTGTCACGTTTGTGCATTTCGATAATTTAATACCGCGAACGTATGTACATGTTTGTGCTTCGTCCATTTGTTTGATTAAACTCGAGATTTGCACAGTTCTCCGTCAACGTTTTTGTCACAAACCACCGAATGAAGTTAACTGGATAGTTACTATTGAGAGAAATAGGTATTTATTAGAAGAACAAGGGAACTGAATTTCGTAATACGATTTCCTACGACGAGTCGTGAAGTTTTCCAAGCCACAAACTTATTTGCACACTTTGCTGTCACGTTCACGTTGCTGGTATATGAAATTTCCACGAAGATTGAATTTTCAGTAAATCTCGAGCAGGATGCAAGGTTACTCGCCCTTCTAATTAATTACTGACACTCCTCGCATTGGAAAAAATCTGCATTTCGTGATCATACCTTCTATTATACAAGCTTCTCATCAGATATATAGGTATTCGGCGCGAAATTAATTAGAAGAAAATTCCACGTGTTTATGGAATAATCGTAATCTTACTGTTAAAGCTCGTACTCGAATGTTTCTCGATCAAATTTTGTCATTTGAATGAACAGAAAACAGATGTTTCAACTAACGTTTAATACGAAGTAAAAATATTGATGTAAAAAGTCCGAACCTAACTAAAAATAGCCTAAGAACCTCTAAGTAATACTTAACCCTTTGCGCTCGAAGGCCCTTTTTTCTACAAGGAAGTAGCAGAAATTAATGTAATTTTTTAAAATTAATATTTTCATTAGAAGTCGGTTCTTTCAAACTATTTCACTGCTGAGATCTCTAAACATGTAGCGAACAATTCACGGAGGTCCATAGACCTGCTGTCTTGGAAAATATAATTCTTAGAGTTCCCTCTAATGGTAAATATAATGCCGGTTCTTAGTCGCCACTCGAGTGCAAAGGGTTAATAATACCTAACTAAATAGTCTTAACTTAACTAAAAATATTGATATAAAAATGGGAGAAATCCTAACCTAACCGTGAAAATCACTTCAATTACCACCAAATAACGTACAAATTTTAATCGTCCAAGCAATGTTCCACACGAAGTGAAAATATTTATATTAAAATGTACAATTTAAACAGATAACAAAATGTGGTGAAAAACCATTTTATTTGCCACCGTTTCACAGAAGTTATTTAGCACACCTGTTAATCAACATTTCAAGCATAAATATTGGTACGAATTTCTGATATTCTGATAGAAAATAAGTAGAATGAAATTCGAAGAAAAATATCTGCGTGAAATTTCGTAAATTTGTATAAAATCCTGTTACTACAGCCACGTGAATACTTGAAACTTTAACACACGACAAAACTGTTCGAAGTAAAAGAATCTTCACGTGTATCAATTATCATTATTCAGCATCTCAAGATCGAGGATTCAAACGAAAAATAAATTCATCGAAAAAACAAACCACCACGTGCCGTAACTAATAACATGCCTACAAGGCTTGCCTACTCTGAACAACGACACGAATCAAAAACGTTCACAATAAAACACTCAAATATCAAGCAACCAATAAATTATCTTGAAATAAAAAGAATCATCACTCAAGACAAACGAGAAACGCAAAACGCAAGCGAGCAATGAAATTACTTGAAATAAAAGGATTCGTCGCAAATCTTAGTTATCGTCACTTAAGGAAACTCATTCGGGAACAAGAACACAAATCGAAAACGTTCACTATAAAAATTCAAGAGTCGAAAGGTACGAATTACTGACAAGTAAAATCACTAGGCACCAGGCACGGTTTTCCCCTTTTTTTCTCGAGATCAAGATCGAAATCGAAAGAAAGAGGGAGTTTCTTGCAAAGCACGAGCAACCAATAAAGTTTCTTAAAATAAAGCAAACAAGGAACAACAACACAAATCAAAAACGTTCACTATAAAAATTCAAGAGTCGAAAGGTACGAATTACTGACAAGTAAAATCACTAGACACGAGGCACGGGTTTTCCCCTTTTTTTTTTTTCAAGATCGAAATCGAAAGACAGATTCGTGTAAAACACAGGCGACCGATAAAGTTACTTAAAATAAAGCAAACAAGGAACAACAACACATATCAAAAACGTTCACCAAAAATCCAAGAGTTGAAAGGTAAAAATGAACGACATGAAAAATCACTAGACACGAAGCACGGGTATTCCCCCTTCTTTTTTTTCTCGAGATCGAGATCAAGAGAGAGGAAGAGAGAGAGAGAGAGAGATTCATTACCCAGGAGCTGTTTACTGTCGTAAAGTATCGGTTTAGAGAACGAGTCATTCTCCCTCCTCGAGCGGTCCATCGAGGTGAACGCGCGACTTCCACGGGTCGAGGCATGAACGCGGACTGTTGCACCTGCGAGAATGAAGCCGAGTGCTCGGCTGAGCAGCTTCGCGGTCGAAGCTTGCAGCCCGACTGCCACCGGTGCCAACTCCAAGGAGCGATCAACGACGCTGATTGACGCGTGTGCTCCGCGGTCTCCGCCGCGTTTTAACGATCGTCGTAAAGCCAAACAAGGCGAAATCCTTTTATTAATAAACTCTTTAATTTCTTCGTAAAAAGTTTCTTGAAAAATTCTTCATCGCGTTTTTATACGGAAGACGTTCAGACGATGGAACATTCCCTTTTTCGAAGGAATCTACGATGTTTAAAAACTTATTATTATGAGCTGAAGCAAAAGGACTTTTGTGAAAAAAGAAATGAAAAGAAAAAATACACACACAGCCGTTCATAAGTATTGTATGACTTAAATTATATTTCTTCGACAAAGTTAGTACCAGCTGTCGGTAAAAATATACAGGGTGTTCATGCTGTTAGTTTTCAGCGTTTTTCTCGTAAGTGGTAGATTTGTGAGAAAAGTGGAAAAGGACAAAATTTCATTATTTTTTATATACAATACAACGGCTTGAATAGATTTTTTATTGTATTATGCGAAAGCGGTTACCGAGACAAGTTCAACGACCTGCGACAAAACGCTTTTTCAAACTCAGTTACGTGACAATTTTTATTGTGGCATAATCAATGACACGCTATTAGGGTCTTAGTTTTATGACGGTGCTCTGAATGAAAATAGATATTTAGAAGTTTCATCGCATGTACTCGCTGTTCTGTGAAATTTCGCGTTGAATCATTTTTCTCAGGGCCTTAATAATTTTGCCTCACACTCGATAAGTGTCCCAATACTTACGAATAATATACGTAATAAAGAGATTTTGTTTTCGAAGCAGGAAAATATGAAATAGAATCTTGAAATAGAATTCTTTTCTGTTAAAGACAAAATATAGCATTTACTTTTCGTTGAAATTTCCTTCATTATTCCAGACTTTTCCAAGAATACAATTACTCCACAATTTACAGACTTCTCAGAGTTAGTTTGTAGAATCTACCGAGTTTTTCCCGTTTTCTCTTTCCTTCAATTTCCAGGATTCTAATTTAATGCTCTCTCTGAGTGTCACTTGTGATTTCTGGTTTTCTTTAGAGCATATAGAAATGCTTTCTAATACGCATCTTCTGGAGCACGGTATATATAAGTCTGTGGGCGTTTTAGAATAAGACTCCATTGAAATCTCATTCCCCGTTCGCCCTCCTTTTTCGAGTAACTGTAACACTCCAGAGTACGAATTTTCTTTTTTTAATTCCGCAGAATAGTTACTTTTTTAGAAAAGAAATTCGTCGGATGGAAGATAACTTGAAGAGAACAGTAATATCGCAATTACACAATTCTCAATTGTACTTCTAAATCAGAGCAGTATTCGAGATGTAAATTTCTTTTATTTTTTTTTCAATCTTCATTTCGATTCGATATATGTTTCACCTCTTTAGGTATATGCAATCGGAGACGTTTGTATTCGTTAAGGGTGATTTGACGTTTGTGTTGAAAGTAATCTCTCCGAAGCGCATCGTTGAAGTTTCATTAATGAACAAACGCGTTAAATGGTAATTGCAATTGTAATTTGCACGCGTTATATCATAAGGTTGTTCCATCAATCTTGGATAGTCCGTGTATAAACGGTGGATTACACTAATTAATACCAGTCGTAGTTAAACGGACGGATTGTACAGGTATACGTAATTGACTGATTTTACCTTGCATTAATTATACTATTGCTTTGCGATTTCGATTGTTCCACCGTGTCTCAGGTTCAATTTCGCATTAATGCCAAGCATCACTGATACAGACACAAGAAAGTAAAAGGTCTTCGTTAAATAGTGCAACGAAAACGAAACAATCATTTTCGAACGATTCTTCTGACGAAGTAAACTAAAATTCGTACAATTAATTTTAATCAAACTTAACCCATTCATTCCCAGAGATAGAAAATATATTCTCTTCAAGATAGTACTTTTTTACGTAAATACGTAGTTATAACAAAAAATAAATTTTAACTAATATGTTGATATGTTATTTCAAGTGAAATATGTGTAAAGCTATTTTGTTAAATACTTAGAGCATTTCGTATTTCTACATATATTTTTTCTACCCGTCAAACTGCAAAAGATTAGATAGTTTATTTAGGTATAATTTAAATACAAATAATAACTAGCCTTTTATTTCATATTAATAAATTGAAGGAAGGATATAAGAGACTATGTCCTTTATAACATAGATTGGATTAAATTGAATTGCTAAGGCAATATAATATTTTTTATTAATTTTTGTAAAATCTTTGTTTACGTAAATAAATTTTTCACCACGTTTAGCTACATTAGAAATTCTGTAAAGAAAAAAGATAATAGAGAAATGTATACAAACGAAGGATAATCGGTGTATTTAAATAAAACTCTGATCTGTAACAATCAGGAATATCAAAATTGAGAAGAAGTATAGAATGATAACGGAATACAATGATATTAAAGATTTATGAAGCTTCATCCTGAAGATTACAGACTCCTAAAGCTCGAAACATATAACCTTCATTTTGTAGGATTGGAAAGGAACGAATCAGAATTCGTGGGACGCGATAAGTACCTACAATCCGAGACTCTTAGAACTTGGTACCCTCATATTTGGATCAATAGGAGTCAACATCGACACTGCTAGATTCACGACAGTCAATAGCAACGAATACACAGACTCACCAAGCTTTGGGAGAAACAATTTTACGCTTGCAGAATTTCATTACAGTTGATTCGGGATATAGAAGATCTAATAATTGTATCCTTAGATCGATAGGATATGACACGTTTAAATTTCAGTGCCTAAAAGCCTGCACATTACAGTAGAAATTTGTAAAAGGCGATAAAAATAGATTTGAATTAGAAGAGAACTCTAAATTCTCCTCTAAAATCAACTCCAGGCCTAAGAAAAGCAATTAGAAGTATTTCAGACGAGTAGGAATTAATAAGGATGATTAGAAGCGAAAAAGATCCGAATTAGACGATTCTAAGCTCATTGGACTGAAATAGAATCACTAAGTAATAGTAGGGCTATAGTAAGATTACTGTAGTGTCATGGGATCACGCGAGAAAATTTCGGGAATAAATGATTTAAAAATTTTATTTTGGAAATTAAACAGATCTGAGATTAACACCTTCAAAGTAATCTCCTTGAGATTGTACAGACGCATTCCAGTGTTTGATCCACTGATCGTAACATTTCTGGTATCAACTTTCTAATATCTACTTTATCTTTTCCATTCTCTTTCTTTGAATTTCAGAAACTGACTAAAAATGCGTTCCTTTCGCGAATCCTTTCATCGAAGGTAATAAAAAGGTCACGAGGAGAGAAATCAGTGGTCCAACCTTGTGATCGATTTTGAATTTAAAAACCGTTTCGCTAAAGTGACTGAATGTGCAGGAGCACTGTCATAATGCAAAATCCACGACGAAGCAATTTCAGGTCGAACCCGTTTCACTCGATTGACAATGTTTACCTTTTGCATGCAAGTGGATCAGGCTGCACAGCGAGGGATATAACTGTTTACACTGTTGCTACTTGGATGGAAACAAAATTATTCTTGAAACTTTATTGTCACAGCTCGTATATTTTCTGAAAACCTTAGGTTCGTAAGGCAATGCTTTGGAAGAATGAAAACCCACTTAGATGACTCGAGAGCGTAGGAATTTGTCTCCGATGTACTTGAAGTGGTGAGATTTCGTCAAAGACTAGCCTGATGTTTACGGAGTTGGATTTCCTTGATTACGAGGATGAGAACTCCACTTAGTGCCACTATGCGGTCTAGGGATTTCGATTTCATAAACTACAGGGTCGAGAACCCCGTTTTAGGCCACTTTGTGTTCCTAGAATCAACTTTGAACTACCGAAAGATCCAAGTATCTCAATCTTCCCAAATCTAAGGTCGTGGGTTCAGTCTTGAAATAGCTAAAGCCTCTGGGATTTCCGCCTACTTAACACCAAGGTCGTAGGACCAGCTTCGAGTCATCCTGAGATCTAGGTATCTTGACCTACCGGAGCACAAGGTTGAGGAAGTCGAGATCCTTAAACCTCGGCGAGGTCCTGAACAAGTCCTATGAGTATGGAGTGGAGGAAGTTGGGATCCTCAGACCTCGGCGAAGTTCTGACCAAATCACATAACTCTAGAATGGGGGGAAGTCGAGATTTTCAGATCTCGGTGAGGTCCTGACGAAGTCCTATGACTATGGAATGGAGGAAGTTGGGATCCTCAGACCTCGGTGAGGTCTTAACCAAGTTCCATGACTATGAAATAGCGGAAATTGAGATTCTCAGGTCTCGTCGAGGTTCTAACCAAGTTCCATGTCTATGGAGCGCAAGAAGACAGGTTCTCCAAACCTTAGAGTTGCCTGAAGCTCATATCTCCACGACTCCAGTGTCATGGATTTGGGGGTCCTCTATCTTGTGGCTGATGTGAGGATAATCTCACAACCGTGGGGTTTCCCATAGAGGAGTCCCACAATTCTGCACTGATTCATGGCTAATCTCTCAACTATCGTAACTTTGATCCCTTCTGCAGATTAAAGCATCTTACTTCAGACTACATGAATCATAGAGTTTGGTAGTCTGACTCAAGTCTCACGATCTCAGGGTGGTTCAAAGTAATCCCACGAGTCCGAAATTGTTGGATACGCGTTTCACGGTCCCGCTGTTTTTCTACAATGACAGTCACGATCTTATGGTGATCCACTTTGGCCTCTAGAGTCTGGCTTGGCTCTATCCGGTCCCCACTAATCTGAGGAAATCCTGTTCAGATCCCACGAGTCTAAAGGTAGCTATAGTCACGTCACACTACTCTGGGAAAGTTCTAATCGGGTTCTTCGAGTTTAGTTGCAACTTTAATCGTGTCCCACTATTCGGTGACTGTGTTACCCGGTTCCCATAAATCTAGCAGTAATCTTAGT